CATTTTGTTCCTGAGACCTCTCAGCTTCTCAGGAGGAAAATCCTAAGGAAAGGATTTTTCATAAAAGTTGTCTGTGACAGCCCATACTCTGTAATCCATAAGGTAGAAACAGTGCATTCCTCTCCCAGCCCCCAAGCCTGGAGTAGCTGTTTCAGTTCATTTTCCTTCCCCTGAAATTCCTGTTTGTGTTTTTGTAGTTTCAGGATGGTCACCAAGCTCCTTTCAGCACTGAATTAGGGGAACAGAGGGTACAGTAGCAGACAGACTCACCCATTAATCAGATTAATGTGTCTTAGTGAGCCAATTCAGAGCACCACAGTGCTGGTTCTTGTGATTTCATAACATCTCATGACACTCCATATTTTTGTTCAAGCTCTCCCTTCCAGATTCATGGGAAGATGGGAGAAGCTGAGGAAGAATTAGCAATAAAGCATCTAGAGCACCTGGCTGTAGAGAGTAATTGGCAAATGGGACCCAAGTGCATCCTAAAGTCTCAGCAAACCAGAAAGCAAATAAAAAGCACCTGCAAACAACTGATGCTGGCCGAGCTTGCTGGAAAGATGCATGAAATGTGCTTGACTGGCTGCTCCTGTGGACTGGAGCTGCTGAGTGGGGGTCCCAGGTTCTCCAAAATGCCAAAAGGGAAGCTGGGAGCTGGCAGGGAAGGGGATGTGTGTGTGTGTGCATGTGTGTGTGTGTGCCTGCGCGAAGTGTGCACAAAGTGTGGCAAGAAGTTATCACCCACAAAAGCAATGGAGTGGGAAATCTGCATCTCCAGCCCCAGGATGTGTAGCATCCTCTCAACCCCCTGCCTTGGTTTGGAAAGATAGGAGTCTGCTAAGGAAGGCAGGAGCCTCCCCTGAAACGGAGAATAAACCCTCCCCACCCCTCCCAATTGCTATACATTTTAAATTAAGGGCCTCTCAGGCAAAAATATGGGAGCAGGAAATAACAGTTCTTTAATAGGGAAAAGAAAAAAAAAAGGATGAAATAAACAATGCAGTGCACTAGAACAACACTGACAGAGTCAGAACCCAACCTGACACCCTGTGGGTCAGGGTGTTGGTGGCAGTCCCATTGGAAATGTGGCTGCAGCCCTCCTGCAGTGTCAGGGGTGGTTCTGCTGGAGCAAGGGGGATCTGTAGAGAAGGATGTATTCTTCCTCTGAAGATCCAGTGGGAGAAGAGACAGCTGCTGTTCCTCTGGGGAATCCCATGGAGAAGCCGTGCTGGTGTCTCAAAAACCTCTGGAGTATACCCGGGTAGGAATGCTTGGCTCCTCCCCCTGGGCTCACATCTCCCAATGGGATGCTGTAGTTCTTATCAGCCATGCAGTGACATTCAATAGTCTGTTATCAGCAATGTCCCCTCCTGAGGGAGGCGTGAATGTGGTCACTCAAAGAGAGAGATAAGGCAAACTGCCCACTTGACAAAGGTAATCTGCCATACAGATGGTAGTTGAAAACATCTTGCATTGCAATCTTCAACACCCCCTGAGAAATCACAGTGTCAAAACACACTGAAAGACAAAGTAAGGCCAAAACCACAGCTTTACAAACCTCTTACCATGAAAACTCTAAAAATATGTGGGACTGAGAGACACCTGATAAGCAGCTGGGCATAAAGGCAGCTGCAAACTACCCACAGAGAAAAAGGAGACGCTGAGGCTGCCTGGGAGATTGGTGGGAGATCTCTCCTGCCATTCTTGTTCTGCTGTGGAAACAGCTGAAGTTGTTACCAGGAACAGTTTGCAAAGGCTCAAACAAAGCCACTGACAGAAATAACTCGAACACAGAGAGGAAAAAATTGCTTGAGAGTTCTTTTGGGAACGATTAGGTTTTAAATAATTGCCATTTATAAGTCAATTTCACATCCTTTTGGAGTTTGGCCTACTAGGATTTGAAGGCTTGACTGAAGCTGGCAGACAGGGTGGGCACTGATTCCAGAGTTTGACTGCCAAGAAAAAGGAAAATATTAAAAGTAAAAATTGGCAATTCTGAAAAAAAAAGAAAGGAGGCCAGGGAAATACAGGGAAATGAGATTTAGTTTAGGAAAATTATTGTTCTCTGAGCCATGGACTGATTTTATGGCTGTTTTATTAGTCACAGTTTTACATGAGCCTGGCCTTGGTAATCAGTGTCTGCAAAGGAACTGGTGGAGAACACAGCTCCCAATGCTTTAATAATTTGTAAATCTACAATTTTGTTATTTTTAATCATGAGTGGTTTTTTTCATTTAAATTCGTATTGAAGTCTATTAAAAGCAGAGGGGAGACTCCTCTCAGCTTTAACAACTTTGAATCCAGCCCTGTAAAAATAGATGCTACGTGTCTCAAGGCTTCTGCTGCAGCCTTGCAAAATGAGTCCAAACAGCAAAGTAAAACTTTTGTGTTTCTGAAGAGTTTTACCCACATCTCCTTTGGGCTGTGAGTAACCAGGGCCTGTGGGACACTTCTCTGTCCTTTTGCCCAATTCTGGGCTATTCCTGAGGGATCTGGGCTTGCTCCTGGCATTCTCTGCTGAGCACACACATCCTCTCTGTGTTTTCTATGTGTTTCCAGCACAGTGTGGGATAATCTCTGCAGTAAAAAGGGCCCAGAGCTAACACCCAGCTCTCAGGTAAACCCACTCCCCAAGAGATTGGAGATGCAGACATATTCAAGAAAAAGTGATTGAAGCAGGCTGTTAGACAGCCTTGTGCATCTCAGGGAAGGACATGTTTTTCTTTCTGGAAGAGAGCCATGATGTAGAAATAGACTGGAAGCAGGAAAGAGGGCTGCAGTGGCTGAGGCTGTATATTTAAACCTCTTTGCTGTCTGACCATCTGGGCCTGCAGCTAAACTTACCTACAAATTATTCCCAACATTTCTACATCTTGAGGGGTAAAAGGTGCACTTGAATACTTTATGCCAGGAAGAAAGGCAAAATAATTGTCCTGAGTCAGATTTCCCCCATGTCAGACCTTTGTGTGGGGTTTTGGATGCCCAGTCTGTTCCATCAGCCTTCACCCACCCCTGCCTGGAACCCCAGGCTGGATGCTCTGTGTGCCCAGAGCCCCTCACAGCCAACACAAAATCTGGATTTTCATTCCCTCTCTGTGCAACACAAGCCAGAACAACAACTGGCAATGCAAATGCACTCATATCTTTTTCTGCCTTTACATTTTTAATATTTTTTTTTAACCATAGCTAGAAGAAGACTCTTTCCATGATGAAAATTCTCGTGGATGATCCAGACAGCCTCGTTTCTCACTTAGCTCAGTCAAATTTTCTCAGTGACTCCTGCATGCCTGGATCCCAGGAGAAAGCCCAAACCCAGGTGAGGTCTGTCTGACCTCTACACATCAGGGAAGGTTTGGTGTGGGCTTCTGACACCTCACAGGGAGCTCACATGAGGGGGACTGACAGATTCTGGGTGAGAAAAGTTGTGTTTTGCCACTTTTGCAACCATTTCGTGCAAAATGAGGCACCTGGATCTAGCCCTGGTTTGACAATTGGTGTTTCCAGAACCATCCCAAATTTTAAGTGCCTGACTCATTCCTCTGGGGCCTGGCTTACCAATTCCTCCTCTGGAAGGCAAAGGGATGAGGATTGCTCTAGCTCTGGCTGGTCAAACTTAGATCTCCCCAGTTCTTGGGGGGTGCCCCAGCACCCACACTGGAGTATTGAGTGTTTGGCAGAGCTTGTCAGGCTTAGTGTAAATTAATCTCTCATCCTCTGCCTGTGTCCCTTCTCCTCTTAAGGTAATTTTCCCATTTGAATAGTTTTGTGCAAATGGTTCCTCCACTTTAGAGAGAATAATGTGAAAATATCTGCTGAACAATCCCATCCCAGACTGGAGTTTTTTCCTCACCTTAAACCAAAGTCCTGTATTAGTCTCTGATTACTGTCCATTGACTTGGCAAAGACTAGAAGCAATTATATTTGGGGATTAGAGAAATTAAGTCTCAAGAGACATGGAACCTTTCAGCTTTTTAATGCTTTTGATTGTGTCTTTCTGTTCTGTGTGTCACCAGAGTAATACAATTAAAATATTTTATAAAAGTGAGATGTGATTGGTGATTGTACAGAGCTGATCTGGTCGTTCCATTTATCTATGATTCTTATCACATTAAAAATAGCCACAGGGAAAGTCTTAAATGCCTCCACCCACCCACCATCCATCCACCATCCATCCATCCATCCATCCACCCACCATCCATCCATCCATCCATCCATTCATCCATCCATCCATCCCATATTATTTATATATCATCTCCATCAGAAAGAGTTTCTTGGCAATAAAGATCCTCTGTCTAGCTGGTTGTGAGCATCCTGCCTTTCAACAAAAAAAGCATCCTGCTTTTCAACAAATGGCATGGGAAACTCTTCCAAGGCCAAAACACATGAATGAGATTTATTAATCCTGTGGCCCCTTGTCAGTCATGACAACGTTAATAATCCATAAACCATGTCTAAACCATAGACCATGTCTATATCCCGTGTAACAAATGCATCTCTGTGAGATGAATAATAAATCCCACGTGCACTCTGCTCCCTCTTAGACCGAGAACACTCCAGATTTGGGGCAGCTCTTTCCAGCTACCCTGGAAAATTTCCTTTCGGGATGGGAAATGAAATCTTGTGATTTCAATGGGGATCAATTGGGCAAGCTTTGGTGCATGTCCCTGCACTTGATGGCATGCCATGCCTTTTGATGGCTTTCATATCACCTATGATTTTTCTTTTTTTTTTTTAAGTATCCATGCTATGTCCCTCGTATCTTCCCCTCCAATTTATGTCTTCCTCCCTGATTTTTCCCCCTGTTTTTGCAACATTTGTGTAGTTAGTTTTAGCCTCTTTTCGTTCTTTGCACTGCACCTGATGTCATCCCTGTCCATTGTCTTGTAGTCACTTTTTGTAGTTTGTAGTCAAAAATTTCCCAAACTTTTTTTGTTTTTTCTCCTTCCCACTCTGAGAGGAGGCTGACGCTGCCCCAGTCCCTGCCAGGCCCAGCCCCTGTGTCAGTATTTGTCACTGTATCTGCAGTCGGGGTAGCGGTAGGCGAAGCGGGAGTCGCAGGAGCGCAGAGGTTTCAGGATCGCTGCCAGCTCCGCCATGGCCTCGCTGGCACCGCTGTCGCCAAGGCCGTGGGCGCAGCGCTGCAGGAAAGCGTCGATGCTCTCCTGCACGGGGGGCTGGAACTTCCCCGACAGCAGCTTGGGAAGGAGGTCCTGGCACACCATGACGAGGCTGTGCTGGTCCCTGATGGAGTCACAGGACACTAACACAGACTGGCAGTCCGCGGTCAGGCAGCTGAAGATGTCTCTGTACTCCTGTTGGCCATTGATCAGCTGGCTCCCTGTTGGGGACAATTAAACTGCTTGTTAGAAGCAGAATAGTGAGCTGCTGGGCAGCCAGAGATAGCTGTGCCTCTGTGTTAATGTGAGGTTTGTTACTGTCTAAAGGATGTGACCACCTTTCCCTGCAAATTACTTGGTGCTGAAGCTGCGTGTGTGCCAATTTTCTTGCTTTTGAAATATGTATATTTTTCTGAATGACAGAGCTCTTCAGAGCTGCCTGTCAGAGGAGCTGGAGATGAGTCTGTCGAGTCAAGCTGATGCAGAAAAAAATGAGAACTGGAGTACAAATCTAAAATGTGGAGCTCCTACAAAAAACTGCCACAAATAGCCAGACCTGTAATTTTTTCCATGTTAACCAAAATCATTACATTGAAACAACAGCTCATCTGGCTGAAGTCAAGTTAACAGTCATAGCTGCTGGGATAAGAAAAGGAAATCCAGTGGAAAATTTTCTGACAGCTGCTTCTGAATATTCTGAATACTCAGCTGAATGTGTGAGCTGAGGAAAAGCCTTTTGAAAATTTGAATATTCAAAATGAAATTGTTAAATTATTGGATGAATAGTCTTTGACTAGCTCTACTTGCAGGAGTAGACCAATGTAACCTGTGAAAATTGAACACTAACCCTTGATTTTATGTAAAAGTGACAAAAAGGGAGATTTTGCTATTAAAATATATTAATTTGTTATAAAAATATCTATAACAATAATATATATTGTTATGAATAATAATAACCATTATTGGTCAATGTGATAAATGCAGGTAAGAATGGTCTAATTTTATCCACTACTGAGTACAAACAAAACTACAAAATTTCTGCTGGCAAATATTGACATTTGTATGGCAAAAGTTTGAAAAGGAAGGCTTCAAATGGGAGCATTGGGCACACCATGCACTCGGGAAACTGCTGCCAGCTACAGTGGCCACCAAAGAACCGACTGCACAAACACAACACCCGTCACCTTCCCAACTCAGAGCCAGGATGGCGGGAGCTGCTGATGGTGAGTGTCTCTGTGAACTTCTCATCATTTAATTTAGCAAGGAGTGTTTGGTTAATTAAATAAAATTCAAACAAAACAAACCCAAAAAAACCAAAATAAAACAAAAAGGCAGCAGTAGAGCCAAGGGCAGAAGGGGAAAGATTTGTCTGCCCTGCCTCCCGAGCCCTCCCGTGACAGATGCGTGGCCTGGACCCCGCTGAGTACCTTCCTCCTTGTCGATGACGCCCAGCGTGCTGGCATCGCGGATGAACAGATGCCCGTTGCTGAACACGCCGAAGGTGCCAGCGTCCACGTGGGTGAAGTAGAAGAAGTAGTTGAGGTCGTTGTTGGCCATGGAGCGCAGCACGGCCAGGAGCTGCAGCGCCAGGTCCGCGGCCACCTCGGGCGCCACGCCGAAGAAGTCGCGCAGGGGCCGGGTGCTGGCGCTGACCAGCAGGCGCCCGCAGGAGCCCAGGTACCGCGGGAAGGGCCAGCCCTCCACGTCGGGGAAGATCTGTGGGAAGAGCAGCAATGGAGGCATCACCCCTGCCCTCTGTTCATGGAGCCACCTCCCTCTCAGAGTGCCTTTCTGGCTCCAAGCAGCAGGGGTGTTGTCAGAACCCAGGAAATCCCTCTGGCTGCCCTGGAGGACTCGAGCCCCAAGACCCCTGTGCCTTTGATTTAGCCCTCGAAACAAACAATTACCAACCTTTATATGAAGAATTACAAGTCAAGAAAGTTTAGGTGGAATGATAGTGAATTTATCACAGGGTGATAAATAGATTGTTGAGGTTTTTAGAATGAGGGCTTGGGGTCCTAGGATGGAGGACTTTGGGCGTGCCTTGTCCTTTTTCCTTCTTCTTCCTAGCCTCCATCTTCTGCTGCGATGTTGGCACTTTTGGATTGGTTTAGAGTAGAAGCTCAATGTCTAACATAGACGATAGGTATTGGGAAGTTATGGTAAATAATGTACATGTAGTTTTATATAAAAAGACAACACCATCTCTGAGATGATCAGTGTGCCTCAGCCCTGACCTGCCAGACAGACCTGCAGCGGGGCAGAGAACAAATGTTATAGATAAAAAACAATAAACAAACTTGAGAACAAGAACAGAAAATTCCTGACTCCTTCTTCGATTGCCGGGCTGTGAAAAAGAAGCTTGTACCTATCTCAGGATCACTCTGACAAACAGAGATTCTGAGAGGTTGTGGTTTGATTCTTAAACCACCCTGCAATCCTTCCTCGCCCATCCAGCTGGGAAAGGTGCTTACTACCCCATCCTGGAGGAGTTAGGATGCTTTTTTTCTTTTTCTTATGGTTCTTTTTTGTAAAAGAGGAAGAATCTGGTATTTCGAGACTTATCCTGTAAGAGAGACTAAGTGGAAAGTCCAAGATAATAATAGTTTTCAGATTCATGAAAATTTTAGCCACAGAACAGCTAAATTTAGGTGTCTTTGATGGGTCCCTCATGAGCACTGAACAGATGAAGTCACAGCTTGGAGTTGAGGTAAGGCTAAAGCAGTTTTTGCTAATTGGTGAGAACTGCCAGGCTCATTTGTAAGAGACTTTGCAGTCTCAGGGGCAGAAGTGGTGGGCGTTTGCTCCAGTGGAGACACCTGGGCTGGGCTCCTGCATCCCTGCAGCTCGTGCCAAACCGTGTGACTGCTGAGCTATGCCAGCACAAGGCTTTCTGTCATTTGCATTGAAGCTCATCTGTGTCCCCAGCACCTCAGACCCCAGCACCTCAGACCCTGCCAAGCCAGTATGAACTCATCCAGTTTCATGTTTAAGGTTACTTCTCCCTTCTGCTGCGAAGGCATTCTGGGCAACTGTGCAAAAATCTAGCCTTTTCTCTGGTATATTATTCTCATCTGTTCAAGTTGTGTTCCTGTGTCTTCAGGCTGCTAAGGCCCACAGCTTCATGTCCCAGTGACCCATAACTGGGGTGGCTGAATGACCCCAGGAGCCTCCCAGCACCATTTTCCCTCCCTGGGACCACGCAGAGCCCTGTGAGCTGCTGAGTGCAGAGTGGCCTTGGAGCAGAGATGGATGATGCTGCCACTGCCATCTTTCCTTCGTGGAATCATGAAGGGTTGCAAGAACCAGCAGTGAGGACTAAAGGTGGGATGGGGATAGGTGAGGATTCTCCCTTGGGCACATAAGGAAAGAGAGGAGCTGCATGCCAGGCAGGTCGGAATGGGTCCAGGGGAAGGGCGTGAGGCCTCCCAGATCACCACCTTCAAACCCAGAGGTTTGGAACCCAGAGCCAGTTACCAGCAGCAGGCAAATGGAAAACTCAAATGGAAAACTCTTTCTCTTCCAGAAACAGGCTGTGATTTTATGTAACGCATTAGTAATGCAAACCTAACACTTTGAAGTGTTGGGGATGTGTAAAACCCTGGATTTCACAGTGCTCCAGTGCAATGACACACCTGGGGTTCTCATCTCTCCCCAGCTTTACAGACTGATGCAGGGAGCACCTCATGAGCCTGCCTGGCTTCAGCCCCCAACCTCATAGAAGAAAAAACATTTTTTGAAGGCCAGGGAGCTGACAAGGGCCGGGGCTGGGACTCCTCTTACCCTGAGGCTGGCACACATCTCATGCAAGGGTTTGCCTGGGAGGGGTTGTGGGGTGGTGTTTCAAGCTGGGGCAGGCTGGCACGTACCTGTAAGAGGATGGGGTGTGAGTTGACTGCCAGGGTGTAGAGCAGGCGCAGCTTGTCCCTGTCTGTGAGGTGATCCATGTAGATGCTGCCGGCGTCGGGCACCTCGGCGTAGCGCCGCACGATCCTGTCCAGGAGCCGCTGGGACGGGCAGCGCAGCAAGGGGCTGGACAGGCCCTGGGAGAGGGGAAAACCCAGCAGGGAGCTCTGATTCCAGCCCGAGACAGAACCCAGGAAATTCCTCTGACTGCCCTTGAAAACTCCAGACCCTGACAGGGGGCTGGGAGACCTTGGCACGGAGTCAAAAACACCTGTGCCTTTGATTTTAGCCCATGGAAAAAACAATTACCAACTTTGTGCCAGGAGTTACAAGCCACGAGGGTTTGAGTAGAATAATAGTGAATTTATCACAGGGTGAAAATGTAGAATTTTGGTGGTTTTGGAATGGGGGTTCAGAGGCCAAGGTGGAGGAATTTGGGCGTGCGTTGTCCTTCTTTCTTATTCTTCCTAGCCTCCATCTTCTGTGTGATGGTGGCACTTTTGGATTGGTTTAGAGTAGAGACAGACTGTCTAACATAAGTAATAGGTATTGGAAAATAATTGTAAATAAAGTACACGTAGTTCTTAGTATAAAAAGACAACACCACCCTGAAGGTGGGCAGTGTGCCACAGACTGACCTGCTGAATGGACCTCATCAGGCCAGGAAAAGAATGTTATAGATAACAGAAAACAAACAACTTTGAAAACCAGAACAGAAGAATCCTGACTCCTTCTTCAGTTGCCAAGCTGGGAAAAGAGAGTCTCTGAGACATCTCAGGGTCATCCTGATCACAGAGACCCCCAAGAGCAACGTGCTTGGGTCATACTGGGGTGTACACAGACCTCTGTGCTCTGTCCACTGTGCCCCTGCTTGCTGTGGCACAGTTCCAAAGGATGTGGGCACACAGGGCATCTCACCCTTCCCAGGAGAGGACTTGTGCCACCCAAAAATGCCCTTTCCCAACTCAGGGTTCAAGAATGGCCCCCATTCCTGGCCACTGCAAACCTCATATTCCCCCCGCTGCACAGCACCACATCACTGCACACCATGGGACTCTTCCCTCTGCCTGGGTTTCCAGCCCTGGCATTCCTGGTGGAGGGCCTCCAGTTGTTACAGCACTGAGTCACTTCCCTCATTAAATAATCTTCGGATCACTTTGTTATTTGCTTAACCTGAAAGCAGCTTTCTTGGAAATACTATTTGCTAAGGTCAGTAAACATGCTTTAAAAATGTAAATAAACATTATGTGTGAGTATAAGCACAGGATATGTTCTCTCTCTGATAAACTCATGCATTAACTATCAAAACCAAATAGCCTGTGTTTATTTTTTGTAAATAGCAGCAACAAATAGAGAACCGTTGGGCTAATGGAGTCAATTATCACTGTATTTCACCCTTCAGATTTGGAGGTTTGGCTTGTAAAATTGCATGAGCAATCTATGGCTGGGATAAACAGCATAGAAAATTATACCTTCATAGTCAAAAATGGCCTTTTTTTATTTTTCAGTTAGTCTTCCTTAATAGCCAAGGAAAGTTTATGTATGGAAGGTTGCCCACAATGGCAAAGAATCACTGCCCTGACATGCCTCTGCTGGGGAAGGGAATCAGGTTTTTTCAGCCTCTTTATTAAAAATGATCCCAGTAGCCAAATTTGCTCTTTTGAGTCTTGTTTATAATCTGATGGCTGGGAGATGTGCTTCAGAGGAAGGGGAGGTGGAGCTCAGGCTGCTCGCTGCCATCCTCCACGCTGGGAGCAAAGATGTGATGCAGCATCTCCCCAGCCCACGTGGCAGCTCTGGGGTAGCTCCTTCCAGCCCCTCCTGTGCGAGCTGTTCATTTGGCACAGAACCCTGAACCACCCAGCTGTGACAAAGACATGAAGGAACATGGAAAGGATGAATAGCACACTTTCCCAGTTGGAGGAGGAAAGGGGGGAATTAGGTGTCCCACGTCTCTTCCTCTGCATCCCTGTTGGTCTCAGTGAGATTCCAGCCACTCCTTCCTTGGCCATCAGTTGCCCAAAACAAGTCCAAAATGCCAATAGCTGGTCAAAACTACCTGAGAAACTCAACTGCAACTGAAGTGTTGTTTTATGAAAACCAAAAAACCTTCCTTCCCAAAAAGAAAAAAAACATGTGCCAAAAACAATTCTACTCAGTTCCTGTTGCAAGTCTTCATACACTTCTCTCCTCTGGTGTAGCCTTATGAGGAAAATTTTTTCTCAATTAATTGTGCAAAACCACAGAAGAGGTGCATGGGGAGGGATGGTTATGGATTTCTGTCTTGCAGCACTTGCAGGAACATTGTGGCTAACTCTGTCACTTTCCCTTTGGAGGAGAAGTGATAAAAAATGAGCAGAACAGAGCTGTGTAAAGTAAGAGATAAATGGTGGAGACAGTCTCTTGAAGCTCTGTATGCGTGCAAATATTTGCAGCCAAAGTTAGAAAGCCTTGCTGCTTCCAGGAGTCTGAAACGCAAAGGCTGAGGCCCTGAAGAGTACACAGTGGGAACATAAATCACAGTGGCAGAGAAGGCAGGGATAGTGTAATTAGGGTTTTTCTGAGGTCAGAGCTCATCCTCTTAATGTAAATGTGGGCACATGCTGTCCATAGGGCTCATGGTTTCCTGAGGAACTGTTCCAGGCACATCCAGGGAGGAGTGGGAGCAGAGGAGCAGGGCTGGGTGCTGACACCTTTGCATCAAACATGGGTGCAGCTTCCTACAGTTTAATGAAGCCCTGACCCACAAAAACTGGGCAATTGGGCCTTTTGGTTTCACCAGTGACAGTCACCAGCACTAAGCTCAGCACTTGCTTGATTGTTTCAGTGGAGAGGGGTCTCACCTTCCTGCAGGCTGATGGAAACACCTCTACAGCAGAAAAGGAGCTGCAGTTGTAAAAGTGTCAGACAGAAACTGTCAACGGAAGAAAAATGTGAGGAACACACACTCAAAAACACTGGAGATACAGATTTATCTGAGAATATCTTAAGTCCTTTGCAGTGACTTATCACCCCAGAGAATGAGACCTGACAGACAGCCTGATGTATTGGTTGTGATTGATGTGGAAAGCTTCTTATTTACTTTGATTAAATACCCACATTTCTATATGTGATAGTGAGTAGTTCCTGCAAAGCCTACCTCCACTCAGCTGAGAGTTCTTAAACCCTATTACACAGTACAAGATGCATTTTAAACTCCAAGAGTTTATGCATATATAGCACAGGCACACCCAGAATTCACTTGGATGTAAAGACAACTTGTGGAAGATTTCTTGCTCTGTTTTCTTTTCAGACAGCCCAAGGAGGGGTGGCCCAGACCAGGATCACAGCTGCCTCCTGCCCATGAGCCACTACCTGGGTCCAGCTTCACCAAACTACCAGGTTTAGGATGGGTTCCAGGAGGAAACACTTGGATGTATGTTTCAAAGCACCTACAGCTCCTGGCAATGTGAATCCAAGAGTTTCCTTAACTCCCAAAAGAAAGAAGGTGAGAATGCCCTGAGAAACTCATCCCCACTGCCAGCAGGGTTATGGCAGTCTCTGATGATGAGGCACTGGGTCAAAGAGGTGGCAGGTCTAGGAGGTGGCTCTGGGAGCCCCAGAGTTCCCATCCTTCCCTAGGATGGACAACTGGACATGTGAATGAGCTGCTGCCCCTGTGCAGCAAGAAGAGACAGGGACTGGACTCATAACTGGGATGTTGGTGCATCTGCTGTGGGCAGGAAGAGGGCTGGTCAGCAGCTGCTCGTCAGTAGTTGTTGGTCAGTAGTTGCTGGTCAGTAGTTGTTGGTCAATATTTGCTGGTCAGTACTTGTTGGTCAATAGTTGTTGGTCAATAGTTGTTGGTCAATAGTTGCTGGTCAGTAGTTGTTGGTCAGCAGTTGTTGGTCAGCAGTTGCTGGTCAGTAGTTGCTGGTCAGTAGTTGCTGGTCAATAGTTTCTAGTCAGTAGTTTCTAGTCAGTTTCTGGTCAGTAGTTTCTGGTCAGTAGTGGCTGGTCAGTAGTTGCTGGTCAGTAGTGGCCGGTCAGTAGTTGTTGGTCAGTAGTTGCTGGCCAATAGTTGCTGGTCAATAGTTGCTGGTCAGTAGTCTCAAACAGTCCATCCTAGAGAATCCATCTGCAAATGCTGGATTTTCGCCTTGGTACTGCTTTCCTCTGTCTGCCTTCTGCATTTTCCAGGCTGTGCTTTGTAGGCAGGGCTGTAAATTTTCCCAGTGGGTGACCTGTGCTGAAACCAACCTGCTTTGTAGCCACTCCAGCAGGCAAGCACCCAGAGTGGTTTGAGGGGATGAGCTCCTGGTGAAGCTGTGTGTGTCTGGGGCTGCTGAGCAGGCTGAGCCCCAGCCAAATCCTGCTCATCTCTGAGGCAGGCTGGATTTTAAGACTGAAGACTTTGTTGCATCCAGTAAAGATTTTCCTTGTGGCTGGCGCAATAATCGCTGTGGCAGGCAGCTCAGCTGCTGGCTGGGTCAGGCAGGGCAGGCAGATCATGAAGTAAAGTGGAAAAACATCACTTCATGGTCTGTCACTGTGATTCAAGCACGTTGTGGTTTGTCATGGTGCTCTGCCTATCAGACAGAATTACCTGGGCCCATGAGCTTCCCCCAGTGCTGCTGCACAGGATAAACTGCAGGGGAGGGAGAACAAGCAGTGCTGTGTGACTGCAGCTCTGTGAAACAGCCTGGGCATCCTGTCAGGCCTTGGGAGAGCTGTTCTGTTAACACCTTCGAGAAGAGGGAGAGTGGGAGAACAGAACCATAAGAGCAGTTCTTAAGTAATTGCAGAGACAAATGGGAGCCCCAAAAACCCCTCTCCAGTGGCTCCTGCTGGGTTACTGTGACGGTGTTCATAGGGGTCTCAGGCTGAGGGAAGAGACTGGGATCTGACTCCATGTTTCAGAAGGCTTGAATTATTATTTTATTATATATATTATATTAAAACTATACTAAAATAATAGAAGAAAAGATTTCATCAGATGGCTAGCTAAGAATAAAATACCAAAGAATGATAACCCTTGCCCCTGCCCTTTCCAGATTTGTGGCTCGGCTCTCTGTCCGAGCCACCTGACTGATTGGCCATTAATTACAAACATGCAACATGGGCCAATCAAAAATCCACCTGTTGCATTCCACAGCAGCAGATAACCATTGTTTACATTTTGTTCCTGAGGCCTCTCAGCTTCTCAGGAGGAAAAATCTTAAGGAAAGGATTTTTCAGAAAAGATGTCTGCGACAGGTTTCCAATGTAGGGCTGGATGGGCTGGAGAGGTCACACTGTAACCTGTGGTGCCCCACACAGCAGGGCTGGGATGGGGTCTCACTCACAGACTCACACACACAGTATGACTGAAATGTTGTTGCCACTGGCTGTTTTTTAATTAAGATCAGTGTGAGACCAGAAGTCATTTTGCAGAGCACATGCCTGATCTTAAAAAGGGATTGTTGCAGAAATTTGGTGATGAGGAAGTCCCAGGGTCTCTGGATCACTATTTTTCTCTGTGTATTCAAATCTATATGCTGTTAGAAGGGATTTAAATTCCAATTTTTGTTCCTCTGATCGATTTACAGAACCAAAGGACTGTGAAAACACGACCAGAGCAATCCTGAGGCTGATGTGCAAAGGTCTGGGCCTCCCTGCAGCCTCCCATGCCCTTTCCAACTACAAAGCTGCTAGAAGGGGTTGATGCAATGTCCCAGGGAGTTTGTCACTGGGCACGTCCCCCCAGGCTGGCCCTGGGCTCACTCAGAGGTGCCCTGGAGCTGGCATCAGCTCAGCTCCCACTGCTGCTGAGAATTCCCCTGCACAGGGAATTCCTGGGAGAAACTGGATAGGTGCAAGGGCAGGGTGCCCCAGCAGGCTCTCTGGTGGTGCTGTGTCTGCACATGTGCATCCATAAATGTGTGTGTGCCCCTGTGTGCAGCCCTGCCAGCTCAGCTGGCATGTCCGACTCCGGGACGACAGGGTAGGCAAAACTGTACCACATGAAGAGCCTTTTAAGGAGAGGGATTTGTGCTCAGCTGATGATTTAGCTTTGCAGCAGGTCTGAGATACCACAGAGCCACATTTCTCCAGTTACTTTTTCACCCAGCTCAGCAAATCAAAGTTTTAAGCTCTGGATTCCTTCCCTTTCCCTGAGCACTGCTGGGGAGCAGGGCGACAGCACAGCTTGGCACAAACACCTGGGACACCCCAGCAAGGCTGGGGGACCTGGCAGCCCAGCCTGCCCTCCTGCAGGCCCTGCAGTGCTGCCTGGGGCTACAGGGGTGCCCAGCAGTGCCTGGGCTGCCTGACAGCCTAAGGAGGTGTCCCTGCCCATAGCTCAGGTGAGGGATGCTCTGGTGGAAGTGACACCCATTCCCTCTCTCTAATGCCTCTCCCGAGGTTACTAAGCAAAGTACAGTGTAGCTTGGCTCCAAAAATCCTTTCCCTGTCAGGTGTGGAGGGTGCTGACTTCAGGGTGACCTGCTGTGCTGGACTGGCAGGGATTTGGGTAAGTCCTTTTGGGGCAGACCAGGCATAACCCCAATGTATAACCAGGCATAACCATAGTCCAGGCATAAACCCAGTGCATCCCTCCCTCCCTCTCTCTCCTAAGGTGTGCTGCTCCACTGGGAAGAGGAGGAAGAGTTAGTTTAGTTCTTCCTTCCAGTGGAGGAAGAACTAAGGCAGCATAGCTTTAGCACTCACCAAAGCTCAGTGACTGCCGAAGCAGCTGCCTGTATACAAATATAAATGAAGTCACTTTTTCACAGTCACTTCTCTCTTAGAATGGGAAGAAAATTGAATAATCCTTTGTCTCTCAGGTCTGGTTCAGTGTATATCCAACCCCCATCCTGGTCCCTGCCCTTTCCAGGGGTTATTGTGATGTTTTGCTGCTGTTTGGGTGGGGTGAGGGGGATGCCCTGTGCTGTAGCTGCCCATTTACCTGGTGGTGTGACCCACACTCACCATGCTCCTGTCCTGGCTTCACCTGTGACACCCCAGGACTGTGGAGAAAGGGCAGTGTGCTTCCTCGTGCCTGAGGTCATTTGCTATGCATGGCAGGAGGGTGAGTAATCGAGGCTTTGGCTCTCACTGCCCATGCCCCTGGTCCTGCCAGCCACTGGCAAGAGAAACCCACACTGACTTGGCCCCTGGCCCAAAGTAAAATTGCTTTCAAGGCACTGGCTGCCCTTGTGGATACAAATTTATGACGGAAAAAACCCCAAAACCCCACAATGCTGAGACATGATAGAAAACTAGGAAAAAAAAAATGGCAGCAATCTCCCCACTGGAGCTGTTACCACATTTGTGTGCACAGCTTGTTGTTACCCCCATGCCTGAAGCCACCTGGTGTTGGGAAGGATGAAAGTTTGACAAGAAAGTCTCACAGATATGTGTGCTTAGCAGAAAGATTTTTAAATGTAGAGTCTGATGAAGGAATAGAGATGGAAGAAAGTTTTGATATAGAAGAAAAGAATTGCTGAGCCAGTCTGACTGGATAACCAAGGAGGCAAAGGGTGTGTTAGTTAGAAGGGGTTTTTCTGGCTTAGAGCAAAGGATAAACCCACCTCAAACAAGAAGATGTTTTTACCAAGCAGAAAGATGGCAGAGGCAAACAAGTCTGCCAATGTTGCAAATAGAAAAAAGTCTTAGAATTTTCCACTGCAAGAAAACTGAAAAACAACTTCTAGCTTAAACTGTAATGTACTAACTTTTAGTGATTGGAGAACAGTAACATGAATATGGTAATTACAGTAGTTATGATAGGCTATAGATAAAAGTTAAGGTATAGATTGGTTCTACTGTATTAAGATGCTCAGCAAAGAAAAGTCTATAATGCATTGTAACCAAACCCAAAGGGTCTCCAGGCCTGCAGCTGGAGCTGACAGCTGTGGGCACAGCTCTGTCACCCACCACACTGGGCTGCTGTAACCTCTTGGATGGAATAAACTGCATTTTGGGGAGCTGCCTGGAGTCCCAAATCTCTCATTTCGGCTCTTACAACCTGGTGCTATGGCTTTGCACAGGACTTCATCTTCAACCTGCTCAAGGAGCCAGGAGCTGGTGCTGGGGCCAAGCCCATCCCAGCCCCATACGGGCTGTGCCACGGCATCACCTATGGCTGGCAGGGCTTGGCCTTCCACTGTGGCACTTTTCCTCCCCTCAGGGCATCACTTTGCCTCTACCCTTTGTTGGGGAAGACGAAACAGGAAAGCCTTATAAATATGATTGCCTGGCAAAAGATTTTGAGAATATAGAAACTATAAGCGAGATTGAAATGAAAGCAAGCTTTGAGATACCTCAGTTACTGAACAACTGGAAAATAATGGTGTGGCTGGCTGAAGGTAATCCCCTTTTGATGAAGCAACACCCTCTGCTTGCAGACAGGCCCAAGGGTCAGAGCAGACCCTACTAGCTTGGCAGAAGGGATCCAAAGAGGAGTTTTTAGGTTTTAAAATGTAGCACAGTATGGTAATGTAATGATTCTTATAGGCTGTATGGAAATGCTATAGGATTTGTGTCTTGCACTAGATTGGTTAGTGAGAATCAGAATATTCAACACAGAAGATGATTTATTGTATTGTAAAGGGAAACTTGGTCTCTTAACTCTTGCCTTTTAGCTCTTGCCTTTTACGCTTTTATGCTCTTACCCTCTCATCCACTCCACCCCTGTCTTCTCTCGCGCCTGCTCTGAGCTGTGGCTGGCAGCTCCCAGTAGGGCCCTGCACCCAGGCCCTTTGCAATACACCCCAAGTTCCTGACAAGGCTGCAGAGATCTCTCATTTCCGTCCGTCCTGACTGTGCTACCCCCCGTTGCTCTGACACTCCTTTGTCCCATAGACTTGGCTGGGGACACACAAGGCTGCCCCATTGCCACTGACCAGGCGGAGTGCCCGCCACCACCCAATCTCACTCTCCAACCGGCGTGTCACAACCACATCCCCACCAGACCCAAAACCCCACAGGACCTGCTCTCCCCCGTGCTCCCCCAGCTGTGTTGGGGCACCAGAATCCCCAGACAGACCTGCACCCGGTCGAGCGTGAGGCGCTTGGCCCGCAGCCACTTCTGGAAGCGCTGAGTGTGGCACAGGGCGCGCTCCAGGCTGCAGCTCCTGGTCCCGAGCAGGGAGGTACAGATGCACTTCATTTTGCCTCTCCCCTTTGTCACATGGGCTTGGCTGGGGGCACACAAGGCTGCCCCATTGCCACTGACCCGGCCAAGCACCCGCCACCACCCAATCTCACCCTCCAACCCGTGAGTTACAACCACATCCCCACATGACCATTTTCACACCCCTAAACCCTATGGGACCTGCTCTCCCCCGTGCTCCCCCAGCTGTGTTGGGGCACCAGAACCCCCAGACAGACCTGCACCAGGTCGGGCGTGAGGCGCTTGGCCCGCAGCCACTTCTGGAAGCGCTGTGTGCGGCGCAGGGCGCGCTCCAGGCTGCAGCTCCTGGTCCCGAGCAGGGAGGTGCAGATGCGCTTGTCCGCCCGGTCGTGCTGGTACTTGGAGGTCAGGCGGGTGATGTCCACCAGCCGCCAGCTCTTGGCATCGTCCGTGTAGTTGCCCGAGTAGCTGAGCAGGGAGCTGGGGGGCAGCTTTAAATGAGAAGAAAGCCAGGTGTCAAACCTGCCAAACCAAAGGGAGAGCCCCACGGAGAGCGGGTTAAAAACCACAAGGACACAGTGCCCGCCCTGCTGAGCTGCTCCTCCAGGCCGGGCCCTGGGCATTCCTGCCACTGCCTGGAAAAGACTCTGTCACCCTGGCTGGGTGGCCCCAGGGTGAGCAGGCTGAAACCATCAGCTAAGGGAATGTTCTTTGGTAAATAGTCCTTCTTTGCTTCCCACTAATACCATCCCTTGTCATGAATGCTGCCATGGACGGAAGGGTAAAACACCCAAACTGGATCTTTTGGGTAGAGGGAGGGAGAAAAGGGAGAGGGTTGCAAGGTTTTGGTTCATGAAGAATTCCTGGTGTTATTAAATTTTCTTGTTTCTAGAGAAAGTGTCCCAAAAAAGGAGTACTTGACACTTTACAGGTCCATCCTGATATTAAAACCTAACCACAAATGTATTTGGGAATATCAAAATGACCTCTTGTTTTGAGGTGGTGGCTTTTGTCAGTGCCTGTCTCCGCCAATGTCCCTGCCTGTATTTTCTCTCCCAACATCCCTGACTATTTTTCAGCCAGGATGGGTGACCTCCTTGATAGCAGCAGAGTTCGGGGTGTGATGGGCATAGAGGGAGTGATGGAGGGACAGGGTGTGTGTGCCCTGGGCGTGCAGCACCTCTGTAGCCATGGAGATCTTGTACTAATTTGCTCCCCCTCCACAGGCACAGGAGGGGAGCATATGGGCTGGGTAATTGGGTAATTTTTTTTTGTTTCAGCAGCCCCCTCAGCCCTGCCCACACGCCGGAGCCGAGGAGTGCGGTGCCGGCTCTGGGAGGGTGTCTGTAACCTGCTCTTGGAAAATGGCCCAACTCTGACCTTTGGTTTGGCCAACATCCTGCCCTCGCTGCCTCTGAACCCTCCTGCCCTGAGCTCCTTGTCCAAGTGCGTAGGAAAGCACGTCCTCATTTTATCTCACCCTAAATTAAAGCCGGCAGCTCAGAAGTGAAACAGGAGAGGCAAGAGGTTCCCTGCAGGATTAGCCTAGCTGGAGTTTCAGACAGCTTACAAGACATTAACAAATCTGAAAGCTGAAGCTGGTCGTTCCTTTCAAGTTCCATTTGGGAAATTGGCACAGAGAAAATTGGGGAGGATTAATTTTCTATGATTTCAGGCAAATAACTGACTCAGTGACACGAGCCACCATCTGCAAACATGAACTGATCAGATGATCCCTCCTGAAGGCAGCACCCCACTCCCTTTCCCATCACAGACCCTGTGCAGCTGAGTTCTGGGTGCCCAGGATGGGTGAAACCCTGCTGCTTCCCCTGCTTTGGCTTTCAACTCCTGCCATGTCCCTCCTTCCAAAAATTTACCATGGAGGATGGCTAGAAGTGGGGGAACCTTGTGAGAACAGGTTGGTGGATTCCAGCTTTTCAGTTGTTTGGGCATTTTGCCTGAATGAAACTGAAGATTCCCTACAATTAAAACACCTGACATGATAATAAACACTTTGTTTGGGTTTGGGTTTTTTGTTTTGGTGGGTTTGTTGGTGTTTTGTTTAGGTTTTTTAGTTTTGGTCTGGTTTTGAGCTAGGATTAAAGAAAAGAGAATAATTTCTGTGCCTCACTGTGATTTTTGTGCATCAGGACCCCTCCCAGTGCCTAATCTGCAAAGTGGGCACAGCGTGCCAGACACGTACTGGGAAGAGATGGCTCTGGGCTAGCTTTTTCTTTCTCTTTCTCTTTCTTTCTTTCTTTCTTTCTTTCTTTCTTTCTTTCTTTCTTTCTTTCTTTCTTTTCTTTTCTTTTCTTTTTCTTTCTTTTCTTTCTTTTCTTTCTTTTCTTTCTTTCTTTTCTTTCTTTCTTTCTTTCTTTTTCTTTCTTTCTTTCTTTCTTTCTTTCTTTCTCTCTCTCTCTCTTTCTCTCTCTCTCTCTCTCTCTCTTTCTCTCTCTCTCTCTCTCTCTTTCTCTCTTCTTATTTTTTTTTTAAGTTAAGCACAAATATACCTTGTGACTTGACTCAAGCTTTTGTGTTCAAGGGAACTCACATCAGGCAGAGAGCAGGAAAGTGCCACCTCCTGTGTGCAAGCAGCACATGGGTGTGTGAAATCCAGGGCTGAGCATTAATTTGAGGGTGGATGGAGTGATTCCCTCTGCAGATCTCTGGTGGGAGAACCACCCTGGCCTGGGAACCCGCCATGGGCTGCAGCAAGTCTGTATTTGGCATCATTTCTGGGCAGCACAGCGCTGGCCTGGCACATTTGCTGGATATTTTCAGGATTCATCATCAAGTTGTGCTGCAACCGCTCCCTCTCGTACAGAGCTTTTTAGCTAAGGGCCAGCAAATCCTCTAAGACCTTCAGTAAAATCTATGCAAATAAGTGAGTCATAGATTACAGATTTTAGATGAACCCAGAACTAAATGCTGAAGAAATTCAAACTAGTTTTCCTTTGTTTATTTCCTGAATGAAATGAATTATTTTGTTTCAGCCAAAATAATTTTCTTGCATTTGGAATTTCAGATTTTTTTTTAAAAAAGTAAGCTAAGTCTTAAAACAAAACAAACAAACAAAAAGCCTATAAACCCCCTTCTAATTGAAGCATTCCAGCTTTTTCAGTTTTCTTTCCCATTATTTTTGGACAAAGCTCAGGACCAGCACTGGCACAAGTCTTTGAATAGTTTTGGTCGGCTCAGTTCTGCGGTATTTTGAAAATCTGATATTTTACAAAAAACTTCCACTGCACTCTGCTCTCAGTACAGTTGGTAGACAGGCTTGGTGTCCTCATTTACAGATGGATAAAGTTGGGCAAAGATAAGGGAAGTATAGAACATTAGAGCACAAGATGAGTCACCAGCCGTTCTGGGAACAAAACTCACATCTTCTCGCTGTGAATGCATGTCAGAGCTCCCAGAAACGATGGAGAATTAATGAAGCATGTTCCAATGTGAATTAGCACAGAGAAACCCAAGTGCCATACACCTTTGCAAACACGTGGAAAGGTACGAGGGTGGATCAAAGAGTGCAAGCACCACTGAAATTTTCCTAAATAAAAAAAATAATCCTCACTTTTCAAGAAATCAAGTGGGAGAAGAAGTTTTACCCATGCAAAGGAAAGCCTGAAGCTGAGTGAGTGCTCAGGAGAACATTTTTAAGTTCCCCTTCCCAAAGCCTCACAGCAGAACTTCACGTTATCTCTTATGTGTGGGAAGCCAGCTGCGGGCTGGTGGGAGAGAAAAAGAAGTGTCTGGCTTGGGGAGCCCCTCTGTGTCCCCTGAGGCAGGAGAATTGTGCTCCCACATGTTTGTGGCTCTGCACTCCTGGAGCCCAGAGGGACCCTGTGTGCGCCTGCACCCCGTTCCCGCTGTCCCCAGGAGGAAATCCAGCACGGGGCCCTCCTGCCTTGGCTCACGCAGCACCTCCCTCCCACAGCCCACTGAGCAGCTGGAGCCCCACAGCCAGAGGCACTGCTGCTGTTTTTGGCAGGGCTGAGGGAACCTGCATGGCCCCAGCCTCCCCAGTGCCCAGGTGGGAGTAACCAGAAGGGAGCTGCTTGGTACCTGGCTGCAGTTCCCTAAAAGCCCTGCACAGGTGAGCGGGGATGCAGCAGGCTGGGGCACCTGTGGTGCTGTAGGGAATAAAATGCAGAGCAGACACTACCCTGGATGCACCCCTGGCCCCTGCAGACCCACACCAGCCCATCAGCCGGCTGAGTATACTGGGCTGATTGCAAATCCACGCTGCATTTTGGGACAGGAACCCAGGCTGGGCTGGGAGAAATGCAGCACTGAGCACTGTGCACCTCACTCATTTCATTTTGGGAATCCAGGTTGGGCTGGGAGAAAGCCAGCACTCAGCACTGTGCTCCTCACTCATTTCATTTTGGGAATCCAGGCTGGGCTGGGAGAACCCAGCACTCAGGCCTGTCTGACTCACTGCATTTTGGGACAGGAATCCAGGCTGGGCTGGGAGAAACCCAGCACTCGGCACTGTGCTCCTCACTCACTGCTCACTCTGGCACTGTACACGTGGAAAGCAAAAGGGCAAAGTTACAAGGATGGGATCCCCAATGTGCAACAGCAAGGAGTGCTCTGGCTCAGCAAAGCCACAAGCTGCTTTTTTCCAGCAGCAGTGCAAGGATGGATGTCTGGTATTACAAGTCCATCCCAGACAAACCATTATGGTTTTACTATGCTGCGTTTTATAGGATAGTTTAAGATAAAAACGGTGATTTGTCTAATACTATACTACTTACATTATAGCATTAAAAATACAATTTTGCTATAATAATTTCTTCTCCCCCAGGCTTTTATATCTATAAAAGAAAGTGCATATGGCTCTATAAATCATATCAGACCCAATAAACCCTTCCTCTGCCAAGCACTGCCTTTGACTTTTTCCTCAAATTCAAGTGGCAACATTTTCCCTGCTGTCATCAGATACGCTCTGCTTTTGAGCCTAAAAATGATTGGATTGGTCTAATGACCACTTGGACAGCGTGTGTCTCATCAACAGCAAGGCAGATGCAATTTCTGCCTTCAAGTTCTCACACAAATCTCCCCAAAATGTACCAGCAATTTAGCTGCGTGCTATTTTCAAGTGTGTGGGTAACCTCATGTGCAGAAATCCTCATGCCTCAGGCAGGTTTAGATCCCTTTTGATCTTAGTTAAAACGTGAAATTCTGCACATTCACGTTGTTGCACCTGGTGCAGAATTATACAGCATGTTTGTATGTTTGTAGTTAACATACTCTGTTGGGAGCTTACAAAGCTAAACCCCCTTTTGCCTTTAGTCAGTGGCTCATAATAAAATACTTCCAGTAAATCTAAACAGGCTGATTTCTTCCTTTCCCCCATCACTGCTTTGAGATTTTTCAGAGCCCCTCTCTAGACAGAAATCTGTGCCTTTTACACCTGCTTTCAAGTTATAGTTTAGGGCTGAAGTCTGATCATGTTTGCACTGCTTTAAAAGAAAAGAGATAAAGCATGAGCTTACAGGCATTAATTAAAACACTAAGTGCTGTAATGGCAACTGGGTGCATTGTTGCTCATGAAAACACTTGGAAATTCTAACAGGCAACTTTCAAATTACTACACAGAACGGTTTAAAAATTACTCTGCTGAGTTTCTGACCTTATCTCCTCTTTAAAGAACTTCTTGCATATGGATGTCCCAATGCAGGCGTTGCATTTATCAAGTCCCAGGAAAGTCCGGCCAAAGCTGTAGCTGGGTTTGACGTGGGGCACAGGCGGAGAAGCTGCTGCTGCTGCTGCTGTGGAGGGGTTACAGCTCAGAGCCAAAACCAGGAGCAGCATCAATGGATCTGCAGCTCTGGAGCAAAGGCAGCATATCCAGAGCCCCATCTACAGTAGTGGAGAGCTCTCTGCTTTTTGCAAGCTGTCCCTCTCTAGGATTTCAGTCTCTTTTTGGTGACTTCAGCCTGCAGTGGTGAGCCCCAAAACACAGCCGGACACTCTGGGTGCAGGAGACACTGCTGCAGTCCCCATCCTGCCAGCTGGTCACTGGCTCTATTGGCTTGAGGTTTGGGTGGGAAAGATATGCTGTAGGGTGGGGAGAAGGAAATACATGGAGGATGCAGATAACTTGGGTTGCCATGGTTATCTTTCCTCTCCTTGTTGCAGCTGCTTTGGCCCCTGCTGACCCTCCCATCAGCAGACTTGGGAAACAACACCAAGAAGTGCTCATCTGCTCTTGGTGCAGACAAATGAAGGATATCCTGTTGCTGGAGAAAAGGGCAGACGTGGGACACTAGTAGAAAAATTTATTTGGGAGGAGTAGTAGCATGGCAGAAATGCACATTTTACCAGAAGCCAGACCATTGGTGTTGCTTTATTCCTGGAGATTTGTGGTGGTGCATGACAGGACTTAGATGCTTCCTTGGCCCTTCTCTGGAAAGGCTGTCAGGTGGAATCATCACTGTTCTGTTTCTTGAAGACAGCATTGTTTAGCAGTGGTTGCTAAAAAAAAGAAAGCAGGATAGCCTGCAGCTTTCCCAAAAGTCCCAGCTGATAGAGCAGCCTGACCTCTACACACCTCTTGGAAAATGAGGTTTTCAGCAAGACTTGTGTGCCTTGGAATGTCTTTTCTGGACAGAAACTCATTAGTTGTGGCACCTGGGAGTTCCAGGTCTCTCCTTGGCTCCACGTCCTCATGAAAGTTGCTTCACCTCCTGGTGGGCAAAATGGAGATGGTGAAGTTTGGGGCTTGTCTAGAGGGTATAGCACTGACAGAGGAGGATAAGGAGCCCTGCTGAGAAGAAAGGAGGATATCATGAACCCTGCAGAAGCTGCAGAGCAGAGGGGCTGGGCAGTGCTAACGCACCAGCATTCAGCACAACTCTGCATTGAACCATCATCACATTTGGCCTAACACTCCAATGTAAAGCTCTTTGGGACATGTTGGTGGAAAGAGACAGAACCAGAGCTAAACAAATATTAGCTGTGTCCCACTTCCAGAAGTTCATCCCTGGTCTTTTCTATTGCTGGTACATTGTTCCTCTCCCCTCTGCAGGAATCAGCCCTGCCCACAGTTTCCTGCCAGTAGCTCTGCAAATTTGGCCATGCCCACATTGCTCCCTGCCCAGATCTTCCCTGGATGGTACCAAAATTACACACCAGCAATCTGTCTTTATCTTCATTACGTAATGCATAAACCACGTATCCTTCAGTTCCTTAACTAATTCAGTTGTCTCCCTTCTGTCTCGTATCCTCTGCTGTGATTTTAAGAGCAGACACACCAAGGCTTCCATCTCCTGCTGCCCCAGCCTCTGCTGCCCCACGGAAAGGAGAGGGATTCAGCCTCTGAGGGTGGTAATTGAGCCTTTCTCAATGCAAACCCCAGGGTCTGGCACAAAACCCAATGCATGGGCAGTGGGCTTTCTATGCTATTAATGATGCCTCAATGTCTGTGTTGTTCTTGCACTTTTGTGTAGTTCAGGCACATGTGAAGCAATGGTTATGTCTCCCTAGGAACGGCATGTGTAAGTGTGCTTTTGTACAATGTATCACACCTGCATTACTTTGAAGTGTTATAAAAGCAACTTTTTATTCAAAGAATGGGAGCAGGTCCATCATGACCACCTCAAGTTTGCTGCTGGCCTTTGCATTTACCCCCAGGCTCTGAGCTCCCTCCTTCCCTCAAACATTTCTGCTCAGGCTGGGCAGTCCCTGAGCACAGATGATGTGTGTAGGAAACAATCATTCATGCTCTCAGCACTGAAAAACCAAAGCTTAAAAATGAGTAGATCTATATCTGAACTAGCCAGAGAGGCAGGTGAGAAACCACAGCTGGGTGAGTGCTGTGAGAGGGGCTGCACTCCTGAAAGTTGTGATGGTGTTCACAGGGGTCCGAGGACAAGGGAAGAGACGAGGATCTGACTCCAGGTTTCAGAAGGCTGATTTATTATTTTATGACATATATTATATTAAAACTATAGTAAAAGAATAGAAGAAAGGATTTAATCAGAAGGCTAGCTAAGAATAGAAAAAGAAAGAATGATAAAAAAGGTTTGTGGCTCGGACAAAGAGTCCGAGCCAGCTGACTGTGATTGGCCATTAATTAGAAACAATTAACATGAGACCAATCACAGATCTACCTGTTGCATTCCACAGCAGCAGATAATCATTGTTTACATTTTGTTCCTGAGGCCTCTCAGCTTCTCAGGAGGAAAAATCCTACGGAAAGGATTTTTCATAAAAGATGTCTGTGACATGAAAGTGGCCTCTCTTTTACTGAGGTCATTCAGCAGGTAATGTCAAACCTGTATTTGCTTTCCTTTGTATTTGTTTTCCTTTCCTTCTGGTGGCACAGTACAGAGCTGTTGTGGAGAGCAGCCAGGTCTGCAGGAGCCTTGTAGATCTTCTCCTTGTGCCAGGATGTGGGATTTTCAGGGCATGGATCACAGTGGTGTATGCTGGAACCAAGGGATGGCCCTAACAACCCCATGGGACCTTCACAAAACTTGTACAAGAGAGACTCCTATGTAACACCATTCACCACGTGAGAACATGGCCCTAACAGAAAAGCCTCGTTAGTGTTCTGAAAGTTGTAACTTCTAAAAATTTCTAAAAGGATCAATACGAATATACTGCCCTATTGAGGTCAGACCAGTTGCAGAAAAGCTTTTGGAGTGGTTTCTACCCACAGAGGTAAAAGTTTTTTATTTAGCCCCTGATCCCTCCTTTCCCCACATACCATGAAGGGTGTGGAAACACGCCTGGAAGTACAGCCCCACTTCTGATCAGAACCATGTGGGCATTGGAGCTCCTGGGTCCCAAAAGCAGCCAGTCCCAGTCCCTGCAGGTTTGGGTGGGCATGGCTGTGATCTCCAGCTGCTCACTGAGGTGGGAGAGGGCCTGCTCTCCCTTGCTGCTGGCTCTGGAGGAGATCAGGAGAACACAAGCTAGTTTTTCCCAAGTATTCATGGGATGAAATACTTTTACTTGACCTACCTCCTGGTCTCCACCCAATCCATGAATGCAATCCAGCTGTTCCTCTCTGCCTCTTTCCACCCCAGTCTATTGCCCACCTTCCCTGGTCAGTGCCAGCTGCCCCCAGGGATGGGTTTCATGTCAGCAGAGCCTCCCTCTCCCCATCTCATTGGTGCACTGTCATTTCCACTGGAACACTGGAAATGACTTTGCAGAGCAGGAGACCTTTTAAATTAGTTAAAGTTAATTAAATAGTTTGGGATAATCACCAATAGGTGTTTCAAAGCATCCCAGATGAAGCTGCAGAGGAGCAGAAGGTGCAGTGCTGCTGCTTCTCAGCTGACATTGCCACCAGGGTTTTTGCTGTTATTGACCTGCACCTGCTCATGGGCATTTTGCTGCTTGGCCCACCTAAACCAGCAGATTTTGGGTGTCACATCATCTCATCTTCCTCTCCAGCCCAGGTTTTCAAAAGAGCCTGCTCAGCAAAGATGGATTGCTGCGTGGGTTGCAGGAGGGCTGCATCTCACTGCCACGCACAGAAAGGAAACAACAGACAGGAAAAATCAAAGTTTTGCTGGAAGAGGAGAGGCTCCTGCTCTTCCTGAGGCCCTCAGTAATCCCTGCCTGGGTCAGGCTGCCTGCAGGGCCCGGATAAGACCTTGGCTGTCACACAGAGCAGCTTCGCAGGACAGGGTGGAAAGCAGCTCAGGGTGTGGTGCAACCACGACTATTATTAATAGCATTTTTCATTAATCACATCCAAGATAATCATTAAAATATTGCCAAATAGTCAGTACAGACTTGGTATCAAACTGCTTATCACTTCAATCCCAGTTCAGGCTGGATGTGTAGATTAATAGCTAGAGCAGCTTGACACATTTTCAATTCTTTCAAAACGAAAAATGTGACTCTGAATGCTACAAAAGTCCCAGCACTTGGGAGGATGCGATCACTTCCTTCTTCTCTGTTTTCCTCCCAATTGCATGATTATGAAAGAAACATCTGTTTTGAAGCGATCTGCAACAGAAAATTTTTGTTCCAGTTGGATTTTTAATGGACAGCTTCTGTTACAGAGTCTTGTTCTCCCCAGCCCTGTTTCTTCCCCTTTTCTTTTGCTGAAAGATGAAAGAGAAAGGAAGAGGAGGAGAAAAAACTCAAGCAAACAAACCTCACTGCCCAGACTACAAATACAGACAGAAAAAGGGGCCACTGAGGTGTGGATGGTGTGAAACTCCACAGCTGAGCTGGCAGAGAATGTTTGCATTTCAGTTCTCTTTGAGGACATTTGATGTTGTGTATGTATGGATTTTTCTACATTTTGAACATATGAATGAATGTATTTTTCTACATTTTGAATGTATGAATTTTTCTACATTTTGAATACTAAAAGAGTGATACAAATTTGACCTTTTTTTTCCTCACGAGGGAATAATTCATTTTGTGTGATAATCTTGGATGCAATTAATCTGAAGCAACAATAATCGAGTATATTAATTATATATAAAAATAGGTATTGTTCTGTATCTGTGGTATTTTTGGATTCTCCCTGACTCTGTTCTTCTGCTGCAGAAGAGGAAACCTGTTGTTCTTTGGGAAGTCTTTACATTCTGGTAGGCAGCTGGGAGAAAAAGCAAGTGAGAAGAAAAGCCTCAGGCACTGCAGCCAACACATAAGACCAGTTCTAGTTTGTGAGAGGCTGAAATGTCAGTACAGAAGGCCACTGAGTGCTATCAGCTGCTCTGCTGTTTGCAGCATTTATGGGAGACCATGCCAAGCAGCAAAAACTCCGGAAGAGGATCCTGGATTTTGGTGCATCAGTATCCACAGACTGAAAATGAGATGCAGGAATCTCGAGCCTGAGGGAAAATGACAGTGAAAAGGAAATTGGCTGCACAGCGGAACACAGGGGT